GAGGCTGTCACTAAACTATTTTCGTTCAACGTTGGCCCAAGCACCGGCGACGGTTTACCAAGTTCTGTGGCTTTGGTTTAGGCAGAGAGTGGACACTTTTGAAGAGCTGTTGCCCCATCCTCAGCCCGAGGTTACGTAGTGGACAACGGTTTTGTACCTGTTCAGCTCTCCTCTATTACTCGAGGGCCTAGAAGACATGATATTTATTACTCGGTGCTGCAGTGGTTTCATTTGTCTGGTGTCGCTTGTTGCTGAAGGTTTCTTGGTTGTCTCCCCCCAATCCGATGGCGCAGTTGACCATTGACCATGATTTTGTCCGATGATGCCTCCCTGTGGTCATCTTGTTGCAGAAGGCGAAAGGCGTCGTAACAGTGGCGGCAGCTCGGGCTGGCATTGGGGACCAGCTGACAAAAGCGGCGTAGCACAAGGGCCGCCGAGGCAGCAGGTCGGAGGTCGGAGGAGAAGGAGAAGGAGAAGGAGAAGGTGGTGGTGGTGGTGGTGGTGGTGGTGAGCGAGTGGTGAGAAAGACCCCGACACCTGGAAACTTTATCCGAATGTAGATAGAGTATTGTGCATGGTGGCTTGTATGGACTCGTCGGCTCGGCTGCTGGAGTGGAGAGGTCAAGTGGCCATCCAATCACGCCACCAGCTGCGATTAAATCCAGGTTGCCTCCCAGACCTTGCAGTCGGGGGCCAATTGCATCCCAACTCCCTGCCTTAACGGCACCGCTTTTGCATAGAATAGCGCACCAAGTTCCCGGATATTCTCATTTGAGGTCGTCATTCATTGCCAATGTCTCTGTAGACCTGATCTTCCTCTCTTCACCTGTCTTCGTTTCTTTTTTGCGCCCAACTGACGACTTGAGCCGCTGCATCGAGGACACAGGACAGGCCCAGCGATATGAAGACGGTTCTAAAATGCAGCCAACCGAAGCCAGAGGGAGCCGACTGCGCTCCCGTCCTTTCATCGCCACTGTTGTTGTTCTAAGTGCGTTGACGGCATACTCGGTCCTGCTCCAGACTCATCGCCATGCAAGGCCCGAACTGCGACGGGATCACCAGGCGGCTCTTTTTCGACGGGCCAAGGAACCCGAGTGCAGCGACGTACACTCTGCCGCGGATCAGTGTGCTTTCGTGAAGAAATATTGTCTGGATGAGGATGCCGGCCTATTGCCATATCTCGAGTGGTACTTTTGTGCTTTTAGTGGCATAAAACCCATTGGATTCACTCTGCTCGTTATCTGGCTTGGACTACTGTTTACCACCATTGGGATTGCCGCCAGCGACTTCTTCAGCATCAATTTGAGCACCATTGCGGCCATTCTTGGGCTCAGCGAAAGCCTCGCGGGTGTCACTTTTCTCGCTTTTGGCAATGGCTCCCCTGACGTGTTCAGCACATTTGCCGCCATGAGCTCCAATAGTCCTAGCATGGCCGTCGGTGAGCTCCTCGGCGCGGCCTGCTTTATTACTGGTGTCGTTGCTGGTTCCATGGCCCTCGTGCGCGAATTTCGTGTGGACAGAAAAACATATGTAAGAGATATCGGCTTCTTCATCGTGGCGGTGGCATTTTCAATGGCTTTTCTAGCCGATGGTCAGCTGCGTTTTTGGGAATGCTGGGCCATGGTGGGCTACTACGCCGTCTACGTCGTCTCCGTGGTAGGTTGGCATTGGTACTCGACCAGGAGGAAGCGGCGGTTGCGCCGTGAAGGCGAGGCACGCAGCCATTACTACAGCATACCGGGACATGCTGGAGATGAACTTTTTGGTGAGCCCTATCGCGATGAGCCGGAAAACCCCCAGGACGACGTTGGGGATGATTCTCGCAGCGGTTCGGCGAGGGCCGATATTTCGGCCCTGGAGCGAGCTCCAAGGATCGACATTGAAAACCGAGACCAAGACAGTGACCGGGGCGGATCCCTTGACGATGGCAGCGATGAGGACCACGAGAGAATGGTGGCTGCTGAGGTGTCAAGGAGCATGCGAGTTTTGCGAACAGGGAGAACAAAGTCAATCAACTTGACCCCAATCCGTCCAAGTTTGGTTGGCGCCTTGGAATTTCGATCGGCTTTGGCCCAGCTACAGCGAGAGAGTAACCTTCAGCTCTCAGATATTCCTGGACGGACTTATTCAGATCATCCAACAGGGCGGGATAGGAGGGGCACAACCGGTGTGGTACCGGATTCGGGGCTTTGGGAAACTGCGTCAACACCCGGGGTTTCCAGTCGTGAGAGAGCTTTCTCATATGGTGCGAGAGCACCACTGTCTGCCCCTCTTCCTATTTCAGAGGATGAAGAGACTTCTAGCGAATCGAGCGCGAACCTGAGCCCTGGACATGCCACTCCGGTTCACGGCGCGACTCCTTCGACAGCATATGTCGTTGGTGGGAACTTGGCGCCACCTCCTGTTGGACCTTCCGGCGCTATCGGAACTGGAAGGCCGAGTTCAGGCGCCCATGAGCATAGCAAGCAACCCAGTGGTTTGCGTTTGATTATACCTAGCAGACGCAGCAGCTATAGCGACGAATCTTCGCCATCATCTCCTTTCCCCCGCTATGCAGATTCACCCTCGGCTATGACACCAAGCCAACACCTAGAGAGGACGGAGTTTATGTTACCGCCGCCTGTAGCGCCGCACCGAGATGGTCACTTTCCAGACATGTCAGGGTCTATTATAGTACGTCGACGACCGATACGCTGGTGGCCATATGCGCTTCTGCCACCACCCGACGTTGTTCTAGCCACCCTCTTTCCGACCTTGCAGGCCTGGGGTGAGAAGACTATCTGGGACAAGTTCTTGAGCACCATATCGGTACCAAGCATCTTTTTGCTTGTAATTACGCTACCAGTTGTGGAGTCCGAGACAAACGAAAGCTCGGTGGATGACGTAACTGTTATGGAGAGTTCTGGTAGGCGGGAACTGGGCCATGAGACGCAGTCTTCTCCTATGGAACCGCAGCTTATTGAACCGGAAGGCGAATGGGAGCGATACCGAAGGCATTCGCTAAGTCGCAGCCGTAGGAACAGCCTCGCAACTGTCGAAGATCGCTCACCGCGATTGGTCGTCACTCTCGAAAACGAAGACACCGTGGTTACTCCGGAAGTGGAAGCAACGAATGGTCAGACGGTAGCAAAGCCACTGTCCGACATGCCCTCTGTGAGCAACGCAAATGACGAGCTGTCGACATGGAACCGGTGGCTCGTGTGTGTGCAATTTGTTACTGGACCGCTCTTTGCCGTGATGATACTGTGGGCGAATATGGCGGAAGATTTCTCGAACCCGGGGAAAGTGCTTGTGAAGATGATCTTGTACACTCTCCTCGGGTCACTTATCCTTTTGGCGTTCCTCTTTCTGTTCACGTCGGATCATAAGCGGCCGAAATATCACTTCCTTCTCTGTTTCCTCGGGTTCATTATTAGCATTGCATGGATCTCGACAATTGCTGGGGAGGTGGTTGGGGTTTTGAAGACATTTGGCGTCGTTTTGAACATCTCCGAGGCGTTGCTTGGCCTGACCATTTTTGCGGCTGGCAACAGTGTGGGTGATTTAGTTGCTGATATCACGGTGGCGCGATTGGGCTATCCAGTGATGGCATTGTAAGTTGCACTCAACTGACGGTCAAGCCGATGTTGAAGGCTGTTTGGCACTCACTGACACGACGCCCCTAGGTCTGCATGCTTCGGAGGACCAATGCTCAACATATTGCTTGGTATTGGTATCGGCGGTGTTCTCATGATGGTCCAAAACGCCAATAAGAAACACGCCAAGCACCCGGAGCGGCCCATCCAATACGGCCCTTACAGCGTGAAAGTAGGACCGACGCTCATGATCTCGTCCGTCACGCTTCTCATAACACTGGTGCTACTATTAATCATCGTACCATTGAATAAATGGATACTGAGCCGCAAGATCGGGTGTGGATTGATTGCGCTCTGGACGTTGAGCACAATTGCCAATGTCGTGGTGGAAGTAACGGGGGTGTGGCAGGAATCATGAATTTCAGGCGGCGGGGTGCGGGGTCCTAATTGCATTGGCGTTGAACGTGTTTTCAATTCTCCTGTCCTGTTTTTTTTTTCTATTCTATTCTCGGTTCCCTATGGACCTTGTAGCATGAACGATTGTATCGACACGAAAATCTGGGGCTCCTGGATAGCTGATGGGAAACATCAACGGCAGCATACATTCGGCGTATACTATATATTGACATTGATCATTTGAAGCCGTACAAACAGCATACTTAGGTAGGAAAACACAGCGCAGCTTGTTCTGATGTTGCCTCACGAGCCACGACGTCCTGCTGATCCGTGCCTGAGTTCGGGAGCAACCGAGTCACAGACTCGCCACCAACCAACCAGGGTCGTTTGTCATGTGCCACCAGAGCCCCACCTAACGATCGGCTTCGTTGATCCCACGGTCGCAAACGAAAACGTGTCTGGCTGGTCCTTGGCAATTTTGAGAACAGTCATATCTGCGGAGTAAAGTTTGAAACACGTCAATCATTCCGTGAGACGCATGCAGCCTACTGAAATAAGGAAACGACAGTTGGTGGCGCAGTCGCCAGGGACGGAAATTAGTGCAACTTTAATGTAAACTGTCCTCAGGGCCAGACGCCATCGGCCATTAGGCTACGAAGAGAAGAAAAGAACAGCTGGCTTGATCAAGGGGAATTATAAAAGGGCAAGATGACTTCAGAGAAATGCCGTCAAACGTGAGCCAATTGACCTCAAGTGTGCATCCAGCGAGGCGGGTTTTCCTTGTAACTACCAGACCCAAGTACAATCAAGTACGTGGTAGGTTCTCCATCCCTCGTCTTGAATGTTCAATGTTGTTTTTGCCTGACCGCCCGCCCCTCACTAGCTCTCGACAGCTTTGCCCCTCCCCCTCTTGTGACCCCACGTCCAAGATCCCCTGAGCAGCGCAACACCGCCCTCACCGAGACTCGTCCGTCCATCTTTCCGCCGCCTCCATTGAAGGATTTCCAGCAAATCCAAAACACAAAAGCCATGGCCGCTACAAAGCCCAGCTACCCCCCCCTCGAGGAGCGTCCGCTCAAGGACACAATCTGCCTGTTTGACGTGGACGGGACCCTGACGCCCGCCCGCCTGGTACGCGACTCCTAAAGCTCCCCCCTTCCCGAAAAAAACAAAAGATGATCTGCGCACAGCACGCTGAAACGAGTACATTTTTTTTCCCTGAAAAAAGGACGCATCACCCGAGATCCTCTCCACGCTCGCCGCCCTCCGGCAGAAATGCGCCATCGGCTTCGTCGGCGGCTCCGACCTCAACAAGCAGCAAGAGCAAATCGGCAAGCCGGCAGGCAACGTGCCCGTCACGACGCTCTTCGACTTCTGCTTCGCCGAGAACGGCCTGACGGCGTACAAGCTGGGCCAGGCGCTGCCGTCCAACAGCTTCATCAAGTGGATCGGCGAGGACAAGTACAAGCAGCTCGTCAACTTCATCCTGCACTACGTGGCGGACCTCGACATCCCCGTCAAGCGCGGCACCTTTGTCGAGTTCCGCAACGGCATGATCAACGTCTCGCCCGTCGGGAGGAACGCCACCACCCAGGAGAGGAACGACTTCGAGGCCTTTGACAAGGGCGCCGGCGTGAGGAGGGCCTTTGTCCAGGCCCTGAAGGACAAGTTCCCCGACCTCGACCTGACCTACTCCATCGGCGGGCAGATCTCCTTCGACGTCTTCCCCGCCGGCTGGGACAAGACGTACTGCCTCAAGCACCTCGAGGCCGAGGCCGAGAAGCCCGGCGGCGTCGCGTACAAGAATATCCACTTCTTTGGCGACAAGGCGTTTGAGGGCGGCAACGACTGGGAGATTTACTCTGACCCCAGGACCATTGGCCATGCCGTCAAGTCCCCCGAGGACACTATCCGCATTTTGAAGGAGACTTTTGGAGTCTAGACACGCTCGGGGGTCGCTGCGAGGATATGACGGAAACGCAAAACACAGGGGGGAGGGGAACCATCTGGCAGTCTATACGTGTCCAGATACTAGCATGGGACTTCAAAAGTGGGCAGAGCTTCAATTTTGGTTCCAGATGAGACCAGTGTGAAAATAGGGAGTGAAGAAAATTACTGCCTGCCTACTTTACTTGATATACAACATAGTAGTACTGCAAGCTCGACAAAAACAACAACAAAAATTCAGTCTAGCAAATTCAACGCTAAATGACGCCATGCTGGCAAAACAAAAGAATGTCAAATATCCAATAACCCCCCTCCTCCCCTTAAAAAGTACCATGAGAGACAAGAGATGTATGTGAAATCGTCAAAGTTTACTCCCATCACATCGTATTCTCACTTTCTACTGCCAAAGAAATATATTACCTCCCATACTCAAGATGGGGAATAATCACTGGTCCGTACTTGGTAGTTGCAGTGTACGCCCCATCGCCCTGGACAACAAAGTCCACGGCTAGACTGATTTTCGACAAGCCCTGCTGGCTGCTGCTGATGCTGGGGTTAGGACTAAATGGAACTTGATTGACCGCTTCTTGGTCATATGCCAGGAAGGTGACGTAGTTCCTGCGGCCCATCAACTTCTTCAACTCGCGACTGGCACCGCTAGCGTCCGTGTGAAAGATTTCCATCATGTCTTCTTTGGTATCCGACACTTCGTGCGTGGATTTTTGTCCATTCTTTGGAACGTAGAGCGTCTTTTGGTTGTGCAGAAGCTTTAGGATATAGCCGCCCTGTGGTGCCGAGACGATGGGAGACGAGATGATCTGGTACATGGTCTTGTGATCACCGGGGTGAGTGGGATCATGAACGAGGCCTGCGCCTGAAGCCGCGACATCTGCTTTCTGTTAGTCTGGCCTCAACTATCGGGTCTTGATTGTCATGGACAAGGGCAAAAAAACTTACCACCTGACAAAAAGGTCATTCGGATGCCCTTTTGCTGGGCGATGCTCTGCAGAGTGCGAATAAAGTAGGTTCGCTCCAAGTCTTTAGTGTCATGAGTCCACAAGTCCTTCAACACCTCTTGAATGTCCAGTTCACCAAACTGGTTCAAGACGTTGCCCATGAGGCCCGTCTTGCCGACTGCCTTTTTGACCTGCGAGAAGCCCTGAGACACAACTTCCTTACCACCAACAACGCCGGCGACGGAGCTGGTGACTTTTCCAAGAATATTGTATGTAGTGTTTACAGCCTTTTTACCAGCTGCAACTGTATTGGCTAAACTCTCCACAGCGTCCAATCTCGGGTAGACAATAGGCACCGAAACCATCCATACCACATGCTGAACGCTTGGAGGCAGGGTTGCAACTTTGGGGAATATCCCTTGGTAGGTTGGGCCGGCCATGACACGAGCCTGTGTTCGTTCGGATCGACAATCTGGTCCGACAACCGCCATTGCCGGACCAAGGTACTTGACAAAATGCCAGCCAGTGCCGGTAATTGTGAAGATGTCGTTATCTGTTCTGATGTTTCGCATCATCTCTGTAGTCGTGTGGTGCTGAAATAGGAGGTACATTTCAGTCGCGACGCGCCCAATATTCTTAAATATGGGCGAGGACTGCATGTAGTCGGGGTATGAACCATATCCATCGAAGCTGAATCTTGTTAGGTCAAACGCTCGCATCACCCATATTTTGGGCTTTACTTACATGTCGTGGTCATTGATTTGCAGAACGTGTGGGATCTGAGCGAACGCCTCCCTCATAAATGGTTGGTCAAAGTGGCTTGTATAGAAGTGGAAATATGCATGGGCAACATCCTCCTCGTGCCGAGCGGTCCATTGTACATTTTTCTTGTTGTCCCTGCCGCTCATTGCCAACCACTGCTTTAGTAGCGGAACCTCTCTCCACAATCTGTCGCCGTATATCTGATCCCCAAGCCCGAGTTGGACATGAAAGCCACCGCAGTCTACATTCTTCTGCAAAACATCTTTCCACATGAAACCAACACCGCCGAGGCGCGCCCTTTCATTCTGGGAAGTACCAGCTGCGAAGTCATTTCCAGAGTGGGCAATGAAGCGCCAGCCAGTTTCGTATCGACCTGCAACGACGAACTCGTATCGTGTACAGCCCAGGTGAGAAGTCACAGCATAAGTCCACCGTTCTGAACCAGATTCACTCATTTGCAAATCAATGTCATACTTGTAAAATGTCCATCGCTGGTGAGTATAGATGTTACGTGGTTCAAGTTGTTTCGGGTTTGGCGAGAGATCTACGCTCAGATGGATATGAATTGTTGGTGGCTGATGAGCATCTGTGACGATGAGAATGCTACCACGCCAAACTCCATTCTCAATGTCCATGTTGACATATCGCAAATAGGGACCGAAATAGACACCATTGGTGGGTTGAATTCTGTACATTTCCACTCCTGAGCCAGGTGGCGGGCCGGAAAACCCAACAGCAGTAGGAGTCTGGGAAGCGACGCTCATGATGCTCTCAGCATAACCTGGCGTGTGTGGAGGAAACATGGGCGAAGCCATGGATTGCTTGCCAAACATGGGTGATGTTAATGGATTCCCGTATGTAGAAGCCGTCGGCGAAAGTGGCGTCTGTTCATGTGAGATTGGGTTAGGACCTTTGGGGAACTCCCATTGAGTTGCCTGTGTTGCAAGGTGAATGTAGTAGTACTGCCCAGAGTTCTGATCCAAGTGAGCAATCCAGCCTTCTGGCAACGGCGGAGGGGAAGCTGGTGTCTGGGTTTGGAGAGATATACTAGGAGCAGGAGACTGGAGCGACTGTCCATTTTGCTCGGGTCTTGGGTCGTTGGCGAAGGCAGGATGTCCGGGATGTTGAAGTGCTGGCGAAATCATTCCTGCTGCCGTCGCCGCCGCAGCCCCTGCACCGGCTGCCAATGCCACCGGTTTAGTCGGAGGAGTTGTAGAAGCGGTTGCTGTAGGAGGAGTGGTGTTGGGTCTCGCGGTTGTGGCAGCGGCAGCGGCGGCGGCGGTAGCTCCTCCAGGAGCAGCGGCTTGCTGAGGTCGCTGCTTCTCCTTGGGGTATGCTGAGCCTCCATTGGGATTTACACTAGAATATGCCGGAGGCGGCGTCTTGGTGCCTAGACGTTGGAAGTCCTGTTCCAAAACGCTTACCTGTACGGGCGCATTCTGTTGGTATTGGTTGGGATTCGGTGCCTGTGCTGGCTGAGGAGGTGCTGAGGCGGCACCCAGTCGCGGTTCGGGGCTGGAGATGGGATTTAAGCCCTGGTATACGGTCGGGGGCCCCGAGGGCGCTTGATCAGGAGACTCGGTGGGTGTCCAGGGACGCTGAGGGGGAGGTTGATTTCCATATTGTGCCAGCCTCTGAGATGCCGCAGCACTCTGTGCTTGATGAGCCTGCAAGCTTGTGAGCGTCGCGGTGCCGGAAATACCAGAGGCAGCATATCGAGCCTCGATACCACCACCGGGAATAGTTCCAGGTTCAACAACAGGAGTCTCGGGTGGTGGTGGTGAGCCCCGGCTAGCTCGAGTGGTGGAGTTTGAAGCTGTAGATGCGAAACGATTTACGCCTTGGTCTCCATTGGGAGCTTGGGTAGACGAGGAGCTAGCCGTTGTCGTTGTCGTAGTAGTAGTAGTAGCGGCGCCGGGAGGCGGGTAGTACGTCTTTTGATAACTCGGGTAGTTTGTAGCAGCCGGATTTGGGCGAGGCTGGTCCTTCAAAGGCTGCGCAAACAGTCCCTGATCTGCCTCGGGAGTTGTCGGTGAATGAATGACCTTGGGTGAAGCGCCTCGCCTCTCAGCCAGGCCAGGCCTCTTTTCGACGGAACTCGTGTCCAGACGAGGCGTGGTGTCGTTGTAAGCCGAACCATAAGGCCTTGGCGCGGTCGGTCTGCGTACCTCGTCGTCATCTGGGAAGGGAAGCGGTGCGGCAGAGCTTGATGCGCCAGGTGGTAGAGGGAAAGGGGGTTTATTCGCGGGAGAAGCTGAGGTGCGGCCGGCGGGCTCAGGGCTCTTTGGTTTGAAAATGCGCAAAGGCTCGACAGTAGGGCTGTCGCAGTCTTCCGGGGCCGGTTTGCTCAGGAACAGCTCCTGGTCGGGTATCCCACGACTTCTCTCCATGATGTAGTATGACGTGGGCAAGACGCCTCACAACAAAGTGTGTGCCTCTCGGATGGCCAACGGCGTAATGAGCCGGCGGCACGAGCAACGCGCAACTATTTCAAACAATCCGAACGTCTATTGACGCGGCCGTCCGTGTGGGCCTTGGGTTGCAACCGCAGGGAAGAAGAATATCGTCGTCTTCAAAATTGTCGAGCCGTCAGCCCAAGCTATCGGATGTTTGGGAGCTGTCGATAAGACTAGACCAACTGAGCTGATGATTCGGGGGCGGGGTTGTTTCTCCAACCAGCTCAGAGGGGGGAAAGCGCCGGACTTGGTCGCAGAAATGGCCGCCTTCGATGCAGCCGCCTGCAGGACGAGGAACTGTTTTAAAAGAAACCGAGAAACAGAATCTGAAGAGGAGAAGGAAGGACAAGGGGAAAGAGGAGGAGGGAGCAGTCTGAAACGACATTCAGTCTTTCACAGAGACCATGGCCAACTGGTCGTCTTCCATGCCCTTTCTTGTCCTTCCACCATTAAAGGCTCCTCACCCCGAGCCAAGCCTTCCGTACCAGGTTGTGAAGCGCTGGTGCTCCGTAGTTAGTATGTGTCTAGCACAGACAGGCTCCATCAACCGGCAGGGGACTGGGCGGCAAAAGGTTATGCGGGGGAGGCCATTGGTGATGATTGCGCAGATGGACGACGACGTGCAACAGACGTGAAGCCGTGCCTGGTAGCACAAGAGGCTGTCCAGGGTCCAGTTGCCTCGCCTGTCGTTCCTCGGCGCCTCGTTGCAGCCTCTTAGTGGCTGCGACTGGTAGACTATGGCTCTGGACTTCGAGCTGGCGGCTCTGATTGGCCGCAGACCTGCCACCGTCCACCGTGGAAGCGCCCGAGCTACGGGAGTACTAGCTCAGTACTCCGTAGTCGATATTGGGCCCACTTTGCTCGGAAGTGGCATTCCAGGCACCACCAACTCAGGGAAGCCTAGGTCGCCCAAGGAAGTGAAGCGAAGCTGTCAATCACAATACAATACGGAGTATAAAATCCCAGGTGCCATTTGCAACGTTGAACACATGCTGTATGGCGTCACCTTTCTTGTGTGACACCGGGGCGCCAAAATCTTTCTAGGCTCGAAAGTCGAAACACACAAGCAACGGTATGCTTTGACGCGGAAACACAATAATCACGACCTTCTGCTCCGTCCAATGCTCCCATATTCTATTGAGATCCATCATTCATCGTACCGGCAGTATCTAAACCTCTGAATGCAAACCTGTATCTTATACCTACGCATCTTGGCACCCGGCGCCCTCTACACATGCAAAGCGTCCCCTGTTCCTATAATTCCAATCGTAACCGGACATGATGCCCCCGAAATGACTCGACGTACCCATGATGACGAAGCAATGAAATATTTGATGCCATACGCCGATATAATCAAACGTGCCCGGGAGCCAGCGCTCCGGAAACTTGGTCTACAACAAAAGAGTCGGCTCACGCACACACTTCTTCACATTTGTGCCAAGCACACATCTCTCCCAATGCAGGGCGCCATTGCGGCGAAAACAGGCCGGTAGCCGGCGTGGATGTACGGGTTTTCGCTGTACCACTTGGGGATCTGAGAGATGGCTAGGAGGATGGACTTGCTGGGAGGGATATTACCCTTGACCACGGAGGAGGATTTCTTCGTAGGCAGGGGGATGGGTGCCGTGGACGGATCGTTTTCAGTGACGATGACTCTGTCCCTGAGCATATTGACGTGTCTTCGTGGATGACTATATGGCTCTCGCGAGAGTATAAACAATTCAAGATGAGAAAGAGGCGCAGTTGAAGGCTAGACAAGCTCGAGGGATAGATGTAACCAAAAAAAAATAGAAGCTTCATTAAAATGCGCGCATGCTCAACAAAACCAAAAGGGACATCTGGAGCAATCCGCATGCCACGGCTAGTAACTTATCAGCTCACCAGATGCAATTGACCAATATCGATGCACCAACGAGCCACGACGCTGGGCGCTGCACCATCAATTCAACCACAATTTTATCTATTTGCGTCTTAGCTCATCTATACTTTACAGATACAGTCCGCCAGGGGGGACTAGCCCCCCGCATAATTCCTTCTCATCCCTTCAAGTTCCCGTTGCTTTTATTTTCATTTCCAAGAAAACCACCCATATGGCGCAGAGTAATGCAGGACCGCGCCGATGCAGTTTTTGCCAAGTCTGCTCATCGCTTCTTATTCTTGCGCTTGCTGGACTTGCCGCCCTTTTCCATTCCAGATGATTTCGCCTTGCCGAGAGAGTCAGTGCTCTTGTCCAGGAGCTCAAAGTCATCGCCGGCGGATTCGCTAGTGGGAGTTTGCTGAGAAACATCAACTACTTCAGCTTCGACAATTTCAGAGTCCGAAACATCATCTCTGCTACCAGTGAAACGGCCGACAGTCAAATTGAAGATATGCATGGGAAGGCGCACGACGGCGGTGTCCCTGAAGGTAGGCTGCAGAAGCTCATTGGGCTGTCATGTTTGTTAGTATGCATACTTGAAAATGTCCATGTGCAAAAGGGCCAGTGGCGACACTCACGTCGAGGAGATACTCGTTGACATTGCCTTCCTCATCTTGCTCTTCCAAGTAGACGTCTCCTAAAGAGTCAACTACGAGGATTTTGCCGTTTTCAGCAACGACTCTCTTTCGAACACCAGTAGGGCCGGAAGAGGCATCACGGGAAGCGCTGGGGGTCTTCTTAGTAACCTTCCTAGCACGTCCACGGCCGCCCTCCTTCTTGGCTTCCTTCTCTTGCATGCGACGTTCCTTTCGGTTTTGGGGCACTGGGGGAGGAGCCTCCTCGTCCGAGGCCGTAGCCGGTGTAGAAGACCGAGGTTCAATATTCGGGATGCCCAAATTTCCGCCCCAAGCAGTGTCCCTGGCAAACTTGACGTAGCGCTCGACAAACTCGCGCTGCCGCTTCCAGCTCATGTACAAGATCAAGTAGTGGATAGCACCGCCGCCAACAATGAAAAGGCCAACCATGACAGTTCCCAGACCGGGTCGGTACCTGTCGTAGTAGTAATCGGTGCCCTTCCAAAGAGGGAATCCATGGGCAAGAAAATGGTCGTAGCGGTCTCTCGAAGGGCCCTTCAAGATGTTGGCAATCAAGCTAAGTCGGGTCTGGCGCTCCGAAGCTTGCTTGACAGCGGCCTTGACCTCTGCTGAGCTGGGAGGCTTGATGGCGCTCTTCTTTCCCTTGCCACCAGCTTTCTTTGCGCGCTCGGCCCTCAGTCGCTGCGCAACCTTGTCAGGATGAAGGGCGATGGTCTTCTTTCGGTGGGCTCTGTTGATGTCATCGAAGGAGGCACCGGGAGGCACACCAAGGATGTCGTAAAAGGTCGCAGCAGGGTTGGGCTCGTGGGCAGAGATTTCATCTCGGATTCGGAAGATCTCACGATCTGGGACACGGATTAGCGACTGGGAGAAAGAAGAGATTCTCCATCTCTAATGGCACTGCGACATGGACTGCGACAGCAATGGCCACGGATACATATGTGGCCTTACCTTCTTTGCTCCATGCGGCCGTGAGCGGCGTGAGGAGGGACAGCAGCCCGAGGGAAAGATACGCGATCTTCATAGCGACGAGAAACGGCACACACCGCCGACGACTATGGCATGAAGGGTCGCAAAGGTTCAATTGCTTTGTTGGATGCACAAACTGACAGTCTGCAAAAAAAAAAAAAAGACGAGGCCTGGTGATGCCGTGGCACAAGGCCAGGTGGCTTGACACCCAAGAACGGCTAGCCAAAGTGACAAACGACAGGGGGGCGATGCACAAGTGTGGGACAGGAGCAGGCCTCTTGAGTCTTGACGGGTCGCTCTTGCCCCCGAAGTTCAAGTGCCGGCCCGCAGCCCGTTTATGCGACATTCCTGTCAACCGCTGGTTGCAAAAGTGTCGTGAGCTCAGCTTCAGACATGGAGTTTCTCTAAAGCCGTCAATGGATTCAGCTGCCTGCCAGAATCATCTTCAAGCACTCCATCTGATCACTGTTGAGCTCACACCCACGAGCTGATCTCCACCTGGACTACGGGAACTTGGAAGTAGGTCTAGCCTCGAGAACTTTACTAGGGCCGTTAACTCTAATACTCCTCATCCTTAGTGATGCCGACGTGTCGAGAGTACCCTGGGTGAAAATTATGTATTCCAGCTAACTGGGCGCATCATATCCTCAGACGGCTACTATTCTCATATCTGAATGCAAACAAGCATTCTGTGTATTGACAAGGCAAAAGCTAAATCGTACCAGTTTCTTCTCCATTACCGTTGGTGGGCACTCGTTCCAACTGATAAGAAAGAGAAGGCACCACGCAGTCTCATATTCTGGACATCTATATATAAAAGAAGCAAGTTTGTGCAAGATTAGTCGTCTTTAACCGTCCCATTCGTCTTCAAATCTCTTAAACCACCCCTCACTGTCTTTACTCTAACCATCTTTAATCGTCTTCAATCATAGCCGTCTTCAGAGACTCGCTCAGAGACTCGCTCACGCTGTGCGCCGCAACTACCTTATCTTCGTAGAAGACCTGAAAGTCTTGCGAGACTCCTTGTGTTACCATCTCGATTCTGTAGGGCAATTCGTAAAATATATGGCCGGCATTATTCCTTTTCTCTGGAAGAACAGCAATATCTGGGATAAATGACCATTGCATGCGACAAAGAAACTTGACGGTATGATCAAATCTATTTGGTGGAGTTCCAGCCTGGGAGTACACCATCTCGTTGACGAGTTCCGTAGGCTGCTCTGTCAAGGCCTGGAAGAATTCAAAGACAGTAGGCTCATTTCCGTTGACTACCTCGCCCTATGCCTCGTCAGACTTTGCTCTTGGCCTCTGAGCATGGGGTGTTACCTTGTAAATGAACCAGTGGATTTGGTCTGATGCCTGATACTCTTGTTGCATAGGGCACCACTCCTTATCTTTTATGTCGTGGACATCCTCCTCAAATGGGAGAGCGTTATACATCGTGCCAATGCTAGCACGAGCAAATCGAGAGTCAACCAGATTGCATTGTGCTGAGCTTAGGGATTGCTCTCTCTTTAAGCCGTGAATCACGGCTCCTTCGCAAATTGCAGTCCATCTGTAAGCAAATATTAGAGGTCAAGTCCCAATAGATGCATTTTTCTTTCACATGGGTGAAACTTACGGATCGGTACCTTCGTCTTGGAGGATATTGACACTCGCAAAGTATAATCCAATCTTCTTCTGGAGATGGTCGTACAGAGCACAAGATCTTCCAAAACCACCTACAAGTATGACATACTATTAGGTGTTATTAACATGCAATATCTGGCGGATGTGAATGACAGGGTATTGTACTTACCTTGGGAGGTTTCCCGTATTTTCTATGCGCCTCCTGAATCTGGTCCAAGACTAGCGATGCAACTTCAGTCAAAACATCCTCAAACACAAGCCAAATATCCTCCCTTTCTAAAAATTAGCATGTATTCAAAATCAATAATTCATGGGGTGGATTAAGATGACATCTCACCTTCCAAGTATAATATCCTTGGGATACTGAACATTGGATAAACTCGCACAAAATGGAATTCGGACAGTCCACGATCTTTCGTCATTCGCAAACCCAGGCTTAATCCCGGTTTCCCAGTTGTCATACATCAATCTTTGCCGCTCCGCCGGTGATAAAGCTTTCAGGACGTTCATTGGCATCTTGGTTCTCAATAGACGCGCGAAAGCTTCATCTAGCCGTACAGCGCCGCAAAGTCTCCCTGCAGAAACTAATTAGCTCACCATGCACATAACCCTACGAATCCTTACTTACCGTTACCAGGGACACTTTCTCGAATCGATGACATGAGAGGTTTATGAATCTTGTAGGTGATAATATCCTAGTCTTGATTAGTCTCGAAGCAGTCGGAGGTTTGCTTCATGTAACTTACCACCGTGCCACCGCCACAATCACAGACTACAAAATCATCATTCTTCTTTTCAAGTTGGTGAGTAATAATGAGAAACAAGGGAGCTGAAATTCATCTTACCTTCATGTCTGGCCTTTGATGCATTTTGTGAAGTGTTGCCAGGGCTGCTGCTTCGGGCTCTGGTAGAAAAGTCAAAACGGTTTCCCCGGCTGCTCGCTTGTCTAGCAATCCTGCAGCCGCAATGGCTTTATGCATTCTGATTTGAGCATAAGCTGGCCAGATTGCGGGTAAAGTAACCACAAATTTGAAAGTTGAGAGTTTTACCATGGCCTCGCCCATGGTCTTTTCTATTGCTCGCAGGCTGTGCTCCCACACCAGTCGAAGGTAGTCCGCAATGACCTCTATAACATGCTTGTTTTCTTTTTTTAGCAATTCTTTTGCGGTACGAATATATTTTGAGCGTTTGAGGTGAGCGGGCATATGTTCGTCGTCGAGCAGAAGGAGTTTAAACCATCGCAAAGCATCTTCCTCCGAATCTACATCGTATCCCCACGTCGGTGGCTCAAAACTATGGCCGTAGTAGATGGAAGTAGGGACTTTTTGTTTCGGGAAGCTGTTGAGATTTGAAGATCTCCAGTTTGAAACAAAGTGTATGCGGTCCGGCTCTGCGTCTCTGGCAAAGGCAACACCGGAGTACCTAGAACAGGTCAGGAAAGCGGCACTAATTTTCTGTATGTTGCTTGTGTGGAACAAACGTCGTGCCGAAGTCGATTCCCACTACGATGGAATGAGAGCGATCCATCATTGGAATGGTTGGTTTATAGAAGGGATAATGGCGACGCTGTCGAACTCTCTTTGGGCATCAACGCGATTGGAGTGTAGGAAAGGATTTGTATGTTCTAGGAAAGTTGCGGATGATGCCTGTGAAGCCGTCAGAATTTCCAGTGCGTCAGGCATAACAAGCAAATGAGCGCACTTTGAGGCCATGATAAGAAAGTGAGGTTGATTCATGGTTCGCACACTCACTCCTCACTTCCTTATCACTTATTAACTCTCCCTTCCCACCTGTCAATCGAATCTTGAGACCAACAGTAGTTAACGCCATCCTTTGAGAATTTACTTTATTTCGTGGTCTCTTGACTTCTCAACCACTCCTTGGTGCTTTGCGCTTCACCTTCGTTCTCAGTTCGATAGCGCACCTAGATCCCCTTACCTCCGAATCTGTGAACCAATCCCGTACATTCCATCAGAATTCTGGGAATGAAAAGCACTCGTCGACCCTACCGAAGACGTGGCTCTGAAAGCGATGCGGACTAGGAGCCGAATGCAAGGGCCACTACTGTCCATACCGAGAAAGGTCAACCAGCAAGCAATTCAACCCCGGGTAAACGAAAAATCATCAAAATTCGCAAAAGGAAAGCTATGTCTCCGACACAAGGCGATAGTTTGGGGAAAACAAATGAATCCCCTAGCGAGAAACAAATACAACCCCCCGCAAAGCCGACAGAGAAGAAGTCACTCCATGTTGTAAAGAGAGCAGCCGCTGAAAACGAGCAACCGAAGGATGACAAAGAATTCGAGAACTTTCTGAAAGCCCTCCATAACAAGTACTACGGGGTCAGCCGACAATTGCAGCATGCAGCTAAAAGGAATGTCGACAACCAAACTAAAATGCAAGTTCTACGAGATAAAAACTCTAGCCTTGCAAAGAATCTAGACGAGCTCAAAGCCGAAGCCGCACGCCTGAATAATAGCCATCAGCAAGTTTGGGACAAATATAAGCTGTTGGAAAAGCAACATGACGAAGTTAGGCGAAGTGCAATACAGGCTCTAGATACTGCCAAAATACACCACGCAAATAAGATTCCAAGTATATCTGTGGAAACCATCAACAAAAAATGGAGGCGCCTCATCTATGTAATCCACGACTTTGTCGTTCAGAATCTCACAGTCACACCGGTAGACAATGGGAGCTCGGAAGACAGGGACGTAATAAGGCAAATAATCAGCATAGTCAAAGAGAAACCCGAGTTACAGACATCAATACTGGAAAGGTACATATGGAAGCGCCTAGATCGAGCTGTTTTTCGGGCGGATAGCCGTCTTTGGGGTGGTGATATGGGGATAGCCTTTGCTGAAACTTGCGGCGATCGAGGAGGTATGTGTCGCTTCAAAGTCGGCCTCAATATGACTGGAGATCCAATCCTGCTGTATGTTTTTACTAACTATAATACAAAGTCCACAATGGGCTATCGGTAGCCGAAGTGATGAAATCCCGGGCGGCAGAGATCCGTATCTCTAGGCTGGGAGTGAGTAAACACCATAGAGTGTTTTACATACAAGATTTCGGCAAAGATCTAGCGCCTTTCAAAAAGAGTTCAAATAGCGACGCGCTGCACAAAGGCTTGGCCCTAGTACTTGATATTGCCATCAACATCATGAAAATGTTCATCACGTCTCAAGATATTTATGAGTTTGGGAGTTGTTTCGAAGTGCCTCTTGGAGGAATTATCGTCTATGATCAGACGATCATGGATATTTCATCATGTATTACGACACCTGACAGTCCGAGTATGGATCAACCCGGGAAATTTGTGGTCAAGTTCGTACAGAGCCCGCCGCTTTTTGTCACCAGCACAACTGAGGGTGAGTGTTTTGGTCGCAAGCAACTGGTTTGTCCCGCATTTGTGACAGTTTCTATGGAGGGAGTGGCAAAGGATGACACGGAGAAGAAGAAAGGCCCGGTAAAGGATGCGGCTTTCCATAAAGCTAGCAATAAAGTTGTGAGCTGACTTCGCTGGGCGACGACTCGAATCGCCAGGGGCATGTAACGGTTGATGATTACATATCTTGCTTATCTGTGATGACCTTGCTGAAGGGAAGGCTATGAGGGCGGTTTAGACGAGGTTAGTATACTAGACGGTGTTCATCGCTCCGTACTCAAACATGGCTTGATCTCATCAGACGACCTTGTCTCTTCGTAGCCGGTTGCCTTCATCCATTTGTGAACACTGACTTGCACATACTAACCTCGTAAGTGGAAGGTTATTGCTGGGCGTTACTCGACACGAAACTTATGTATTTCCCCCTGGCTCAAGGAATGGCAGAGAAGTCAGGTTGATACGGTCTTTGGCAGAATTTATCTGCTTATAAAGGACACACAAACATACCATTGACAGTATATTGCAGCATAGAGCGTGATGGTCAGGCGCCTGAGGGCGTCAAGTAACTTCAATGTTGACATGGTGACTTTTTGCTTCCGCACTGTAGTGATGTGAGTTGTAACTTGCCGCACAGTGCACAGAGACTCTGGAGTCTGACAACACATAAAATAATACCGTTGGCGTGGCCGCGCCCATGTTTTGCGAGTCTAATCCACCAAGTGGATCGACATCTGGTGGAACCAGAACCGGGAACTACACTAGCTTCACATGCATGCACCACACCTGCATCCACTGGCAACATCTCCAACTTTTTTATGTACAGCTTGGACACCACAAACAACAAGTTCATTGCCAATTTTAATTAAACAGAACTGCTTGAGACATATTCATTGTCCTTGCGATACCAGGAATATATCAAGTCGACGTCCACCGGATTGTCTGAATCATGCCGTCGTTCAACGCTACCGCAGGACCAAGTGATGATGACGAGGACGACTACATGAACATGACGTTTGACGACCCTGCACCCCAAAAAGAAACCTCTCTACAACGAACACAGCGCTTAAAAAAGGAATCCCTGGCCAGAGGCGTAATAAAGTCCAAAGCACAACTCGCAGAAGAGGCCGCTGCAGCAAGAGAAAAGGCCCTCTCAACGTCTATGCTCGAAGCGCCCGGAGCAAAGAAGAGTAAAGGCCTGGCCATGATGGCCAAGATGGGGTTTTCCGGAGGCGCACTGGGCAAACAGTCCCACGATGGCGAGGGCTCCAGCAAACCAGAGCCGATCAAGGTCAGCATCAAAGAGGACCGAGGCGGCATTGGCCTGGAAAGCGAGAAGAAGCGCAGGCTTGACGAGGCCATGGAAGAGCGGGGCATCAAGACTGTCAAAATAGATCCAGACGAGTACAGGGAGAGAGTGAGAAAAGAGCGCGAGGACGAGAGGCTCGAGAAGCAGTTTCACGCTGCGCAGCGTGTCGCGGAGCGCATGGACGAAGAGCAGGTCGCCCACGATGAGAGCGCGTCCGGCGAGGAGTCAGAATCCGCGCCGCGTGCAAAACCTCTTTCCTCGCGGCCGCTCAAGTCGATTCCCGTGCTGTACCGTGGTCTTGTGCGCCACAGGGAGGAAAAGGAGCGTGATAGACGGATGAGGCATGACCTGGAGCAGTCTCTCTCGCGATTACCTACCTATGACGACGCCGACGAGGATGACGACGACAAGAGGGCTTTGGGGAAGAAGAAGACCGTGTATGTTACTTCGGAGGACTTGGACGAGGAGGATGAGGAGCTGGATTCGTTCAATGCTCTTGAGCCCGCCGAGAGGCTGACAAAATTGGTCAAACACTTGCGAGAAAAGTACTGGTATTGCTTTTGGTGTAAGATGGGGTATGAGAGCAGTGAGATGGACGGATGTCCGGGCGTCGCTGAGGAAGACCACGATTGACGAGGGCAGTGAAAATTATGGCACAGCACTATTGATACATCGACATGTATTCTAGGATTCGGCTCCCCTATGTCTCTTGAAACTCCATTATGTCGGCCGTTGCTGAAATTCGTAGGAACCTTGCTGGGCAGAACTCCAGCGAGGAGTGAGACAGAAGGTGGTCGTTATGAAATGATGGAGATGACCCAGATGCGATTTTATGTCCGAATTCTCATCAAGGTCAAGGATTTACATGCAGAGTATGGAGCACACACTCAACTATTCTCCCACGTGCTGCGCATCAGGGACAAAAAAAACTTTCCACGACATATCCATAAACAGCTAATCAACCAAAGACATCTACCTGTTCCTGGACCGCTTCCTCGCCGACTTCTCTCTTTCATACGCATTGGCCTCCTTGCCCTCCTCGCTTTGAATCTCGGACACAATCCTTTTGAACTTCTTCTCATACGCCTCATCCTTGGCCTTCTTGATTCGGAGCTTCTCTCTGGCCATGAAATTGGCGTCCTTCCTCAGCTCCCTCATGGCCCCCTTACGCTCCTTCTTGTGTTCGGCCTTCAACTTGGCCAACTCAGCACGCTCTCGGTCAGGGTCGTAATGCTTGTCAGGATCGAATGTCTCTTCGAACTTGGGTATATATGTCTTGATAGCAAGTGGTCGATGGTGGTGCAGTTCCAACGGCCGTCGTGATATTTGAGCCAGGCTGAGCATCCGCCCGAGTTTGGCTGTTAGTTTTTCTGCCCTGTCCACTATTTGAGATGGTATTTGTGGCCGGCAGGTCTTGCTGGTGAGATGCTCGAGTACCTTCACTACCTGGCCAAATGTCTCCAAGAATGCCTCCTTTCCAGACCACAAGTCAGCAGCGGCATCTAGGATATCCAACATGGTGGCAATGATTGCAGCCTTGGCAGATTCGCCCTTTGAGCTGACAGCTGCACAATCGCCTAGAGTCAGCTTCCTAACAGCAATAGCATCCAGTTTTTGAGCTCGAATACCAGCTGGGGGTTCGTGCCGAGGAAAGTTGCCAAGCCGTTTGGCCGGTGCAGATGGCGACAGAGCACATAGCGTGTTCAAGCAAAAGCCAGGCACTTCTGGAACAAACCTCTTTGATAGTTGCTGATATTTCAAGGACAAGATGGCAAGATATGCACCTGTCGCATAATCGCATAGTTTATGAGGGACCTTCTGACCCAAAAACCGACCAATAGTGAGCATAGATGGTGTTACGACTTGGTGGAAATGATCTGAGGTAGGAAATACGGTGCCAATAGCTGTTAGTACCACGAGATCTGATGGCTCCAGGGCCACAGGCCGATCTTGACCAATGTCCGAGATATGATGGCGAAATCTTCGGCCCACCTCTGTTGGGAACATCTTGGACAGAGAATGAATATGACGAATTAGACTCTCCAAAACGGCAAATGGCGGAGACGTCTTTTCATTCCACGGCAGAGCCACAAAGTCCACAAGAGCCATGGCAAAATTGCCGAGTTTTTCCTTGTTTTTGCTATCCAGCTTGGGATGATGAAGAGCTCGGATTCGTTGGACAATTGTTGGCAAGGATTTATGAGAGTAGGCGGTGGTTATGGCCTGAAACTCGTCGCAAGACTGGGGACAAGGAAAGGTGAAAGGTAGGCCGTGCTCATCCGACTGTTCGGCCGCTGCCGCCCTTGCATCAGAGTCGACAATTCGAAAGATAGGATTTCTGGCTTCTTCTTCGTTCAGCAAGCCCTTGGTAAACTCGTCTTCCTCATCCACCTCATTCTGTTGTGACATGTCGTCGTCATCTTCCTCCGAATCTTCGTCACTATCCACAGGCTCGAGATCGGAACCGCTCGCGACGAGGTCGTCGTCAATGATAAAATCGTCTTCATCGTCAAAACCCAACTCTGTGGCAGTTGGACGAGCGCGAATACCGCTGCCCAAGCCAAAATCGTCGTCGTCGTCATCAATTTCCATCCCGCCCAAGTCAGCTGCCTTGTCCTTATCTTCCTCTTCGTCCTCGCTGTCGGTCACATCCTCTCCCTTCATACGTCTCTGACGCTTATCCTCGAGTTCCTTCAATCTTTTAGACTCCTCCTCCGCCTTTTCCTCTTCAGTTTTAGTTCGCTCAGTAGGCTGAGCACGCTTGTCCTGTGCCAACTTTTTAACTTCAAGATCAAAGTTCCGGTCGAAAGCGTCTCTGTCAACACCAGCAATTGAAGATGCGTGAGTGTTATTGGCCCCATTCTCGCGTCGTGATCCCTTGGTAGATGTGAGAAGGGTCTGAATGCTTTGGAGTTCCTTGTCCAACTCGACACGCATATCCTCGTCGACTTCCTTGGCAGCTTGTCTTTCATACTTGTGCATCTTGGATTTAGCAATGATTTCTTCCATGACTTCCTTCTTGGTTTTCTTCCTTTCTGGTTCATCTTGTTCACCTTCATCGTTATCTGCCGCTGCCAAGGATCGTAGTCGCTTTAGCCGCTGCATTTCCCTTTCGGAACCATCGCTGTCGTAGTCCATGTCCAGGTCATCCTCCTGGAAGTCGTCCACTAGGTTGTCGTCGTCGAATTCCAAGGCTTTGCCCCCGTGGGTTAGACCGCCTTCCATGGGAATATCGTCCTCTAGATCAAACATTGAGGTCTTCTTGTGACTTCGCTGTTTCTCTCTGGCGAATCGCTCGAGCATCTTGTCTTCCGGTGCCATCGTGGGGTCATATTCGCCAAATCGTCTGTCCATAATGCCCCCAACCTTGTTGCGTCGCTGCATATCAACTAGCAGTGTCTCGCGTCTCTATTACACAACACCCTCGTTAGACTGAGCCTCTGCAACAATGCGCAGTGATGAAACCCACCCTTTCTTCACCCACAGCTCTGGCGACACCAGGTCGTCCTCGAATTCCCTTCGCAGCATCTCCGGTAGCGACTCGGTTGGTCGTCACGTCGAATTTGGGACCTCGGGCAGCATGCTTCAGATCAAACGGGTTAAACTGCTCGCGGATTCCCTCCAGGACCACACCTCGCTGGAGTCTCTTATCGCTGCGTGCCTTTCCTTGCTCAGCGTTCTTACGGCGCTGTTTCTTCGACTGCTGAGGTCCAGTTATGCCCTGTTCTCTCAATGACGCCTTGAGACGCTTGAGTTGTGACCCTGCCATTTTCTAAAGACGTAAATCGCCAACACCGACTCACCTCGAGTGCTGCTGGGGATGATCGATAAATGTCCGTCGCACTTGGCTAGGAAATTTTTTGACTTTTAGATTGCTATCGATAAAGCGCCTGGTGGGGCCTGCTCATCTAAAGCGTCACAGCGTGGCTGCCTACCAAACCATGCCTACTTCCACAACTCACTAAACTCAAACCGGATCAAGGTTTTGGTGGTGGCTCGGGGCAGAACTATTTATACCTTCGCCTGCCTTGCCACGGGCGCTTCGAACAGCATCTCGGTATCATTGCTACACCGTGCCAACAATCGCACCCGGCATGCATGAGATAGCATTTATTCTCATTGAATTTCTGCCGCCATGGGGTGGAAAGAAGCCGTTTGGTCATTCTGCCGCGACGACCGCGTGCACCTGGTCGGTATTGGCCTCGCAACGTTCGGCCTTGTCCATACCATAATTACCGTTTTGACCATCATTCGCGATGAAAACAAAATCCCACCAAAGGAGCCTAAGGCGCAATACATCACTCAGGAAACCGAAGATTCCCTAAGGCTCGATACTTTGGAGAAGCTTTTAGTGCACCCTAATTATTCCGTCAGGGAGGTTGCTACCAAGATATTGTGTGATAGAGCCATCAACGATCCTCAAACTCTCCTTACGCTTCTCTATGGAATTACTCGGCCAGATTACGAAGAGCGCATGAGATGTCTTCGAGCTCTTGCTCTGCTTACTGGACAGACCATGGGTACGTACAAGCCACGACGGCATCAATCATTGTACCAAGCTAATTCCTGCAGGCCTCGATGGCTTAGCTCAACTTAATAATGACAAGGCGTACTCGGCATTGGTGAGGTCGCTGGAATTAAGTCTCGAAGACGCAGAACCTCCAGACTTGACGAATAGCCACTGGGATGAATATTATCTTCGTGACATGGCCGAAAGATTTAACCTCATGTTCATCCACGAGTTAATCACCAAATATCCGAGTGTTGCACTTATCAAGGCTAGGTTCGTGGAAAAGTGGCTCGCAAAACAGAAATGGGGAGACGATCCGGTTGCGCGCCGCGACAATTTCAAGGCATACATGCACCTCAAAGACAATAGGCTTGTGGACATTGTTGATAAGTTAAAACGTTCTAGGAGAGGCTTGAGAGCCTTGGAACAGGCTGGCTTGATCGACGATTCCAGGCAGCAGATCCGAAATCCGGACATGATTATGGAGATTGAAGAAGAAATTGTGGGGGAAAGCCCTTCCGTAAATCGCGTTCTAAGGCCTATGCGAGAGACTTCTGTGGAGGAGCAGCGACTTCGACGCCAGCACCGCGAAGCAATGGTCCTCAACGATGGCACGAGACCTCTTGGAAGAGAAGACATTATAGAAAGGGACCATGGGTCGCCACCATAAATCGAGTGGTATAATGGCTTGAATCTGGACACCTCCTTACCTGGTGATAGCTTCTGGTATTGGCATATTATCGTTCAGCCTGCTGTGTTATTGTAGGCACCTCTGCTGGAGGCTTACAGGAACCAAATACCTAGGCTTTGCAAGACATTATAGGAGATGCCAGCACCGCATAATGGCTCATGACTGGTACAGTCACTGCCTTTGGTTGGACGTCGGCAGGCAGCAGCGTATTCCTTCGCCAAGGTGAATGGATATTTGCGGGAGTCTTCATGTCGGCGATGGCAAATCGTCTGCAAACACGGGGTTTGTCCGTCGGTAGATCATGCTTGATCTCCTCGTCACCGAAGCTTCGGTGTCTTATTGGCGAGTCTGCTTATGGCTTCCGTGGACTTGAAGCCTTTACCGTTGGATAAATAATAGGCAAAATGAGATGGTACGGGTAGGGACTAATTGTCGACGGATGGAGTTTTGTTATTGGGTTAGCGAAAAAATGGCTATTCTGGCAAGCGTACTAAACTAGGCATTTCCAGCGCAGTTATATGGCAGTGTAATACGTAAGCATAGTACTAACGGTAATATTGGTTTTCCAACCTCCCTACATTCGAATTGGTATCTTGTAAATGAATGTGGCAGGTCATTCATGTCGCGCCTCTGGCACCGCAGCCGGATGGTACTCGGTTCCTTGAAAGTACCTGTTCCTTCAGAGGTAGTATATAACGAAGAATCAAGTTATTATGCTTGTCTGCTCCGTGTACAGTACCTAATTAATTGCCCCGGTTTACTTTGAAGTTCAAGGTAACTAAATATTCCTCTGTATACTTTCTAGAGCATACAGCCATTCATATATTTCGTGATGCCGCCCCACGCTTCTTTGTTTGTTTCCATCAGTAGTCAAAATCTATTGACGGAACGCCGAATTGCCTGCTACAAGGCTCCATTAATCGGGAGAAACACGATGCGTTCCGAGCCGAGCACGTTTTCAAGTGTTGTCTTATAATTCTGCACTTGGGGAGATCCGGGGCAACGCTTACGCCAAGCCCTTTTATGTCGTTGCATTCGGATAGCTGTCTGAGACCTCGCAATCACATTGTACACTGGAGAGAGACAGGTACTCCATGTCCATCGTACTCGTCATAAATATATAACGTGTCCTCCGCACTACGGAGTAGTATATGATATGCGATATATGTGTTTCAGATGGCTCAAAAGCCAAGGCTGCTGTCATGACTTGTAGAAGTCTATCCTTTGGAAGAATCGACAGTGTAGTGTATCATGGCTTCCGAGAGGAGAGGAGCTCACTTGAAAAACAAAATGATGCCAGCGTGGTGATCTGGCTATCACATGGATTGGGTCGCCGGTGGACTTATTAGAGTCACTGCCTGTCAACCTACTCATGTACTTACTCAAGTAGACAACCCTTGCTAGTGGGCAATATGGGCCACCTGGCGTGGGGGGAGGATGCATGGCGTGCGGAAACCGATGGAAATGTAAACACAATCGACACGGGCGACATTGGACGACGGTTTGCCCGAGCAATGAAAGGCAAAAAGAATTTGGCTCGACAAGACAAGACGAGGTCGAGAGCTATATCAGAGATACAGAGCGTCAGCATCTAGGTTGAATGACAGGGCGAAAGAGAGAAAGAGAGTCTCGTGGCACTTGGAATCACGGCCCAAACCGACACTAACTGAATAGTCCATCACTCGTTAATTTGGAGTAAAGATTCGCAATCTTGTTTTCTTTGTCCGAGGTGGGATCCGTCCCCCACGACCACAACGCAGTTCGTCAACCATTTCTCAAGTGGCCCAAGCGGTGGCGTCAGCGTTCTGATGAGTTGTCTCCGTTCTCGGGTGGGATGGCTGCAGACACTGCATCCGTGATACAGCTCGAGATGTTGAGAGGCGGTGTCGGCTGGCCATCAACGGGGCAACAGGCTGACCTTGGACGTCTTGGGGCGTATTGCCAGGACCCATTGGGACCTGTGGTGCTCGATGCGACAGAGACCTGCATGTCAACTTGTATGTAAGCTGCAGTAGCGCCGTCATGTCACCATCGTGACCGTGTTCCGTTCAATGTTGTATCAATTGATTGTTCGTGGCCAAGTGTAGCCAGCTGGTGCCAGTGCCATGGTGAAGGGCTCACTAAAGGGTTCCAGCCGCCAGGGCCGTTGACCGCGCTGTGCCGGCAACTGGACCACCTGCAAATCGACAGCCTCGCAGGCTCACGGACTCGATGGCGCCAGGCCTCAACAATAAAGTATATTAAAGGGCTTGTTTCATCTGTTGTTCAGCCTGGTACTCCTTACTTGGCGCATGCATCTGTGCTCTCGTCGTGATTTTTGGTTTTAATATTCGTCTCGTCTCCCTACCTGCCCGCCAGTCTCTTCCCTCCTGCAACATTCAGTGTTTTGTCTAATGTTCGTTCCTTCGCTGGCTTTAATTACGAGCCCACAATTTGGATGTGCAGCGCCTGTCTTGGTCGCTCCAACGCCCCCTTTTAGGTCCCTTTTCCCATTCTCCAATCTGCGCTACTTGGTCGCCGGTCCATAGCCGCTGGAGGGCTGACGGCTTAGGTGCGCTCGGCTATTTTATTTTATTTTATTTTATTTTGTTTTCCCACTCCTCGGCTCTTGATACGGAGTACTACGACTACAGAGACCTGGGTAACTACCTAGGTTCTAGTAGTTGCCCGGTGGTGCAGAAGCCAGGCGTGGGGTTCTTGGGTAAACAAACGTCCAGACATCGAGAGTCTAGTGCGGGCAAAAGCGGGCACCGACTGCTCGTGGTTGCAGAACCAACACGGCAGGCGCAAGTTGCTTCCTGTACCTGCCCGAGCGCTCCCAAGACTACCAGACCGTTGAGGGTGGGCAGCCAATCTTGGCCCGATCTGGTCTTCTGCTCTCGCGATGGCTTCTACTACCACCACCACAACCACAGCCACGTCGACCAGAGCCTTGCGCTCAAGACCATCCTTATCGCGACTACGTGGTCCCTCGTCGTTTGCCTCGACCCCCAATTTAAATACTTTATTTACTGCGCAGTCCAAGTTGCTGCCTCCGAGCCTGGGCTTGTCACGAAAAGCTTCGCTTGCTGCTCTTACCCCTAGTTCGCTGGCCAGCATACCCGATGTCAGCGAGAGTTACGCCCTCGACACAGTATTGAGCGACTCCTCGCCAGCCATGGTTCCAGCGACCCCTCGCCGCCAATCGGCTGAAGATCTCCTCGTTGGAGATACTGTCGACGTTCCCGGTGGCATGTACGGTACTGTTCGCTTTGTCGGTACCGTTCAGGGGAAAAAAGGCACCTTTGCCGGCGTTGAGCTTCACCAGGACTTTGCTGCGAGGGGCAAGAACAGCGGCGATGTGGATGGGTATGTTTTACCTGCAATTGCTCCGCGATGCTCAAATTCTTTGTCATGCCTCCAAAGTAGCAGCGCTAACTTGTTGACACTCAATAGAATATCTTATTTCGCCACCTCAACCCCAGGCGCGGGCATATTTGTTCCGGTAGTGAAGGCGTCTCGTCGAGGTTCTTCTACCAGCTCGTTCCCAATGACCCCAACTGCAAGCGCCAATGGGCGAGCCAACGGAGTAAACTATACGCCGCCAGGCCTGCCCAAGTTCAGCGTCTCCGTCGGACCTGGCGCCAGAGTACCCAGCCCCGGGCCCAAACGACCACCGAGAACATCTCTTCCAAGGCCAGATTCCCCGGTGCGCCGAACTCAAATGACGCCTGGACCTCGTCCCTCGATCGGTACGCCGGCTCCCAGGCCACCTGCAAGGTATGGCAGCCCGACGAACAACAATCGATTTACCCAAAGCGTCCGTGGCACAGCGGGCGACCCAAACAAGAAACCATCTCGAATTGATCGCAAGCCAAGCATTGGAGGTCCCCGCAGTGCTTCGGCCCTAGGATCCGCCCCTGGTTTTGACGAAGAGTCGACACCGTCTCTTTCTGGGAGCCCGCGAAGGCTAGGGCCGAACGGACTTGGCAGCTCCGTGTCTGTTCTGAACTTGAGGCGCCCGGCTTCCCGAGCCAATGCTGCTAATGAAGAGGAGATGGAACGCCTTCGATCCCAGCTTGAGGACCGTGACAGGCAGCTAAAGGATCAAGCTACGACGTTGGCCGAAATGGAGAGCAGCCTAGTTGAACTTCAAGGCCTTATCGAAAATACGGATATGCCTAAGATGAGGAGGAACAGCCTCGACGACAAGGATTCCGCTCAACTGCGGGCCATGTTGCGGGAGAAGAATGACAAGATCGCCATGCTCACTTCAGAGTTTGACGCCCATCGGGCAGACTTCCGCAGCACCATTGACACATTGGAGATGGCTAGCACAGAAACCGAACGAGTGTATGAGAAGCGTATCGAAGAGCTCATGGGAGACATCCGGGAGCTGGAGGCCAGAAATCTTGACGTTGATTCCGTCGCAAGCCAACTGAGACAACTCGAAGAACTTGTGCAAGAGCTCGAGGAAGGCTTGGAGGATGCTCGTCGTGGTGAGGCTGAGGCAAGAGGTGAGGCTGAGTTCTTGAGAGGCGAGGTAGAGAGAACCAAGACGGAGTTGCGACGCGAGCGTGAACAAAGCGGCCCTGGTGGTGGCGCCCCTCACGACGACAAAGGGGCGCTGCTAAAAGAACTAGAGCAGAAGGAAGACGAAATCAGAGGACTGAAGGCCATCATCCACTCTCTCAGCAGAGACTCTATCGGAGACGCAGAGGATCGAACACCGACACAACGCCGGGGGTCTTTCATGAATGGTGGCGAGGACGGCGAGACGGCTCGTGCAAGTCTAGCAAGGCAAGTCGCAGAGCTGCAGTCGCTGCTGGACAAGAAGAATGGCAGGGAGGAAGAGCTTGAACAGGAGCTAGAGGCTCTTCGCGGGGGTAATCTCGCGACGCAGAAAAACTCGGGACATCGCTCATCCCTCAGAGACTCGCGCGACACAGTCATTCCCGTCCGATTTTACGAACCTATATCCCCCGAGGTGAGCCACACGAGGGAGCCTAACCACAGGCGAGGTAATACACTGGACACGATGCATGAGAGCGACGCCTACTCAACAGCCACGGAGAATAGCACTCTCTGGTGCGAGATTTGCGAGACTGGTGGGCATGACATTTTGACCTGCACCAACATGTTTGGTCCAGAGGGTGCCAAAGCTGCTAGTGACATAAAGACAGGCAAGGATGTTGTTCGCGAAGGCCTGAAGCTTCAAAACTCTCTGGGCGTGAAAGACGCCCACCCGGCTCCGCTCTCGCCGACAAAGCCCAAGGCAGCATTTCCTGCAGCTCCCGCTATCAAAATCCTCCCGAACCCGATGGAATCTGGGCCAGTGGCGGGCAAGGAGAGTGGAGTTGTTGACACAGGGAAGTGGTGTGCGGTGTGCGAGCGAGATGGTCATGATAGTGTTGACTGTCCGTTTGAGGATGCATTCTAAGCTTTTGACCCAGTGGATGATGATTGCTTGATGAGGAAGATGTGTATGCCTGTTGGAGTACAGTGGCGTAATGTCATCGCCCTACGAGGTGAGTGTGCACCACTTCATGGAGCGCGTTGCTTGGACAGTATACTCTTTTTTATTGATACCACCATACCCCATGTTCTTCATTAATGAAGGGGCGCCCCGTGTGTTGTTTGGGCGTGAAGACGAAGTTTTTGTAATAATAAACTACTGTATAATGTCTTACTCTACATACCCGTATTATCAAGATTTCAACTTTTTCTGGCACAGCATGGTGTTCTGCCTTGGCCGCCGTGATTTGTTGATCCCCGGAGAGATCAGCAATATGCATTAATATGGCAACATGGAAAGGGTGCGCGCATTGTTGCTAAGGCGGTTTAGGGAGCTCTAGTCAGCGCAAGTTCCAAGTCAACTGAAGTTTAATGTGACCCCAAGGCCAAAATGCCACCCGATCGTTACGAGGTCTGATTCAGTGCGGCTCCTTAGGGCGCACAAATAGCCCGAGCCAAGGGCGTCACGACACCATGATCAACGTAGCTGGTGTGTTTGGTTAAAGGAGGTACCAGGGCGGACCAGTCGGAGGGCGGAGATTGAGTGCTCCGGACGAACATCTGGACTCTGGTGTACTCCGTACATTACGTAGTATGACTTGATGGATTCAATGCTGACAAGGATCGAACAAACATGGATTAATATGGGCAGCCCCCTCTGAGCCTCACGTTGCCGACGCAGGCGGGGACAGCCAGGCTGCGACTATTAGTGCGCGACATCCAGGTATTTTGTCAGAGCACCATTTTCAAGGCTCAACTTTCTAGAAAAAGATGGCTACTCTGGCAAAAAGGCCTGTAATACATTTTCATAGCTTATTTAATGCAGATTTTCTTGATATAAACCGCTTTATCGGAGCCTCGTGGTTCTTGTCTGGGGGGTGTGTCCTTTGCGATCACGTCTTGCATTATCAGCACCGCCACAGACTCGACTTTCTTCGATAGATTTCCATGAGGCGCACTACCTTGGGGCGGACCCCTGCGCCGTCTTCCGTCCTAGAGGAACGAGACTTTGTTTTTTTGAACTCCAACTTTCCCAGGAGCCGCTTTCGCAGACTTCCAACCTGGTCCCTTTGTTATAATCTCATCTCTTCTCCCTCCACTCGAATTCTCTTCCTTACCTTATCCAGGCTTGAACAGGCTAGCGACCTTCTCGATCTCCAAGCACACACAAATACCAGACGTCCTCGTCCCTTTTCTTTACTCTTTCATATTTTTCGTTCAGAGCACCTGTTGTCGCAGGGCATTTGCCAGGGGCCACCGACGCCGCTTACTGCTGGCAAATTTCTCAGATAGGCGCCCCGCCACCAACGACAATAAACACATTCATCTCCCCATTTCTGTCTTGATTGATCACAGAGTACGTTGAGATGGTCACTACTTGCACAGTCGCTTGTTTTGGATACTCATAGCGCGAGGCCTGTCATTATACAAGATCCCGCCGTGGTTGCGTTGTTGCGTCTTGTTGTTTGACCAGAGCCTCGCCTCCCGCCTTGGCCGCCTCCCGCATCAGTCGCTTTCTGTTGGTTTCTGTACATGTTGACTAATACGTGGTCCCCCCTCCACCAGACTCAATATAGCTGCGATCACACTGCGGACTGAAAGTGTTGAACATAATCAACCCTTCGCGCCCTGACAGACTTGGATATCTTTATCCCTACTCCAACCACCTTTGCTCACTAGCTCCTTGAGCCTGTCACCATGTCAAGCGAAGACTACTACGTGATCCTTGGGGTATGTGAACACGCAAATATCTAACTTTCGACAACAATGATAATCATCTAACGTTTCTATAGATCGAGCGTACCGCATCAGAGGCTGAAATCAAGAAGGCCTACAGAAAGACGGCTTTGCAAAATCACCCTGGTATGTGGCCTTGAGATTATTTGGTCGTCCTCTCCATCACCTGCATCAGTCTAACAAGCAACGCCAGACAAAAACCCTGGCAATGCCGAAGCCGAAGCAAAATTCAAGCTTGCCACAGAGGCATACGAAGTCCTAACCGACTCTCAAAAGCGATCAATCTACGACCAGTATGGTAAAGAGGGCCTTAATGGCGCTGGGGGCGGCAGCGGCATGCCCGCCGAGGACCTATTCGCCCAGTTCTTTGGAGGCGGTGGTTTCGGCGGCATGGGAGGCATGTTCGGCGGCGGCGGCAGTCGTGGTCCCCCCAAGGCTCGCACCATTCACCACACTCACAAGGTCTCTCTCGAAGACATCTACCGAGGCAAGGTTTCCAAGCTGGCTTTGCAGAGATCCATCATTTGCCCCAAGTGCGAGGGCTTGGGCGGTAAGAAGGGTGCTGTTAGCAAGTGCGCGGGCTGCGACGGCCATGGTATGAAGACCATGATGCGCCAGATGGGTCCCATGATTCAGCGCTTCCAGACTGTTTGCCCGGATTGTAACGGTGAAGGTGAAATCATCAAAGAGAAGGACCGTTGCAAACAGTGCAATGGCAAGAAGACGATTGTCGACAGAAAAGTCCTGCATGTCCACGTCGATAAGGGAGTACGCAGTGGCACAAAGGTCGAGTTCCGCGGGGAGGGCGACCAGTCCCCCGGAGTTCAGGCTGGCGACGTTGTTTTCGAGATTGAGCAGAAGCCTCACGCTCGATTCACCCGCAAGGATGACGATCTGCTTTACAAATGCGACATTGAACTCGTCACTGCCTTGGCCGGCGGTACCATTTACATTGAGCACCTCGATGATCGCTGGCTTGCTATTGACATATTACCTGGCGAGGCTATTGCTCCCGGTGAGTTTTAATTCCCCATGGGCACTATTTTTTTCAAGACCACGTGTATATTGACCTCTTGTTTTTAGAATCCATCAAGATGGTCCGTGGGCAGGGAATGCCATCGCATCGCCACCACAATTTCGGTAACCTGTTTATCCACTTCAATGTCAAATTCCCCGAGAAGAACTGGACTCAGGATCAATCTGCCTTCGCCGCCCTGCAGAAGATTCTCCCTCAACCGTCTGTCCAGAACATCCCTCCCACTGATGCCATGACCGAACCCGCCGATCTGGAAGATATGGATGGCCAGTCACAGAACCGAGTCTTTGGCAGCCCTGGCATGGACGAGGACGATGACGAGGGCCACCCCGGCGCCGAGCGTGTCCAGTGCGCTTCACAGTAAACGGCCGGGACGGGAAGACTGATTTTGGCGATGTTTTCGATTACAAAAAAGTTGTTGACAGCAAGGTGGGGGCTGTACGATTTGACGTGTCTGCTCTTAGAATAGGGAGGGCCGAGATCACGGACATTGCCGACAATATAAACGAACTGCTAATAGCGCAGCGCATGTGACTCTCTCGATTTGAATCACGCAGCGCATCGTTTCTTGCGATCTCATCGATACCACACCGAAGAAAGGGCATAATAAGCAGCTGTGGCCCCACGCATTTATGGGAAATATGAAGCATGAACGGGGAGGGGTGGTGAAGCAAGACTGCGCTCTAAGTCGCTATTGACTGTCGGGGAAGCTGTGAGCGTTTCATCTGGTTGGTTGGCGTTTAGAGGATATAGATGATTCGACGAGTTTTGGTAGTTGCAGACTTAGACCATGCGTAACGTTGAATTTTGATTTTTCTTTTGAATTCTATCATCTCGTGTAAAATTTGTTTCATAGTTTTACATACATATATATCTATCCCTCGGCAGGACTAGCCTCTACCTCTCCATTGCCCTCTGCAACAGCATCAGTTCCCGCATCCTCACCAGCACCTCCCTGTTTGCGCAAGTTTTCAATCGCATAAAACATGTTGCGAATTTCGCGTTCAGAAACTTGCATCTCTGGCCCATCACTGCGTTGTCCGTGAATAGGTATTTCCACATCAGACGACAGTCGGTGCTCAGTCCGTGTGAGGGTGTATGCGTGTAGACTCTTGGCCTGTACATTTTGGCCTGGGTCCATGGCCACGACGAGTTTAAGGGCCGTCTCGTTGGAAGCAGAGGCGATGGCGACGTGCAGTGGGTTGCAGGGCAGTTGGATGATGCCAGGGTTTTTGAGTTCGTTGTCCAGTGTGAGTTGCCATGTAAAGATGGCCGGGATGCTGTCGATTCTGTTAATACCCTGCCAGGCAATGTGGCTCTGGTGCCTCAAAAGCGAAAACTTACTCCTCGCATGTGGCGAGAACATATGTCACGCCGCCTTCCTCGGGGTATACCAGCGATGTCAGGCCCGAGACGGCTATTCGCGTCGTTTGTGGCGCAATCTCCCGCGCCAGGGCTAGCAGGTTCGTCTTGGAGAGGACGCGGCCGGCTTTCCAGTCCCAGATGAACAGCTCGTCGTCTCCGCCTCCGGACACGAGGATGTCCTCTCTGCGGAGGGGGATCGTCATCTCGCTGATGAAGTCTTTGTGTCCGAGGCAGAAGCCCTCGATGATGTGGGCCTGTGGGATGTAGCGCGACACGCGGATGTGTTCGTCCCTGTCGGCTGTGAGGATGTACTTCCGTCCCTGGTTCTCTGTGACGATCAGAGACGTGAGCATGGACACATGGCCTAGTAGTAGGTGGGACTCGAAGATTGATCCTTCAGACTTCGCTTCTTCCCCCTTGGCTCTTTCGAACTCTAGTTGCTTGCGCTGGTGCTCGAGGGCTTCGAGGTTACGCTTGGAGTGGACGGTGAAGGTGTTGGCTGCTGGTTCGGTTAATGATGGTTTGGGGGTTGGTGCAGCGCGGAGAGCGCGGCTTGATGGTGATAGGGGCGTCATGATGAGTGGGAGGGAGTATACGTCGCCGAACTTGTCGGCGACTATGATTTGAGAGCCGGGTCCGGTGGTGATGGCGCTGGGGCGTTTGGGCATGACTCTAGTTCGTGTTAGTCTTGTGTGTGTATATCAAGCGTGTTTTTTTTAAAGACATGTTGTACCTTTGGCTGAGCTGAATTATTTGACCCTCGCCGTCGTGCTCAAACACCCAGACAG